GGTAGGGTAGGGTAGGGTAGGGTAGGGTAGGGTAGGGTAGGGTAGGGTAGGATAGGATAGGATAGGATAGGATAGGATAGGATAGGATAGGATAGGATAGGATACGTCAGGGGTGTCACTCTGGGCCAGATGCGTCATGCACTGGCCATGCCCACCCCCAGTTAAACGAAGGGAGGGAAAGTTGTGACACATCACGTGATGACAATGTGACACTGTGAGTTTGACACCCATGGGTTAAGTAATAGATACCACTTCATGACTATTCAGTGAGTAACAATGGCTAAAAATAGGTTTGTTTGTTTGTTTATCAAATTTATATGTCCACCCATCTCACAAAAAGTTACTCTGGGGAACATACAACAAATTATAAAACAGAAAATATATAAAAAATAGTCATTATTAAAAAGTTTTTAAAAAATAACAAGGCATAAAAGAGAATAGATATCAATAGCAGTAATTAGGGACACTTCAGCAACTCCTGGTTTTTTTGGGACATCCAGGCCAGGTATTGAAGGAAGTCAACAGAGACGGACTGAACCTCACTTTGGAGTGAGGGAATGTTCTACAAGGAATGCACCACATGAAGGAAGGCCACCTCTTGGTAGTTGCCAAGTATATAACTCCCTAACAGATAGGAACCACAGCATGCTCTTCTGCCAGGTCTGATGGAGCAGGCAGATATAGCTGGAGAGAGATAAACCAACATCATTCTATGAAGGGGTTTAAAGGTCAAAACCAATAGAGTAGGATCCAATGCAGTTCCTGGAGCAGAGGTATAACATGCATTATTCCAGAGGCACGTATAACTACTGTAGCTGCACTGTTGCATTAATGCCAGCTGAAGCTTCTGAATTCTCTTTAAGTGTCATATAGAGTACATTACAGTAGTCCACTTTTTCTGGCAGATGCTGAGTCAATTCTCCATTTGACCCTTCGAGATCTCCAAGCCCCTTCTATCCAAGTGGGCACATGTCACCTGATATAGGGCTACAAGACAGATATCCACAGATGCAATAATACTAGACAAGAATTGGTTTTTTTACCACCACCACCACAAGATAGGCCTTAATAATGTCTCTAACCCGTGTTTGGTACAGTTCATACCTTGCTAAGGGCAAGCAATGTTCTAGGTGTCTCTTCTCTCATTGTATCTCTTTCAGATCCTATGTGAACCACAAGGAGTGATTGGATCCATGAGAGGAAATAGGACGCATGGATGCAATGTGATGCAAACCCTAAGCCATCCCTCTTATTCCAAGCAATGCCTAAGGCTTCTGATGGAACATGCAGCAGAACAGTCTCAAATCAGTCTGAAACCCACCTGAATCCATCAATTGCAGAAATAGAACATTCTAATAGATCTGGCCTCCTTCCAGTGGATAATGATGCATTGTAATCAGAACATGATGTGACCATGACAAGAGAAGCATCAATAGTCCCTCATTTCAGATCACATAGTCACAATTCCAGTAAGAACATCACAGTTGATGATGATACCCAAAAGTTATCTAACAACTCTATATGATGACTTGGCTTACCTTTAATTCCTTGGTCAGTTTGAAAACTGGCAGTACATGCTGCATGAAAACAATAAGAAGCATGAATTTAAATATGGATGTTTTATGGATTCAGTCATGAATGTAACTATTATTTTGTTATAATTTGTTTACAAAGCTTTTAAACAGCAGATTTTACAATTATCATGAATTTTAAAAATCATTAATTGATTAATTAAATGTATAGAACTAAATTAATTATGGCATTTTAAAAAATAACCACAAAATTATAATATTGATATTGATATCACCATTGATATTGTCATAATTCCAGAGACAGTTTCATGTAGGTATATGAAGTGGGGGGCAGGGGAGACATTACAGGAAAAGGAGGAAATTAAATTTTAAAAACTAAAAGAAAAAAAATAAGTAAAAATAATATTGAAAAACTGCACAGTTTAAATTCCCTTCCATTTTACTTGACTGAATATTAACTCTATTTCTATTTGCCATCTATATAACATTTCATCTTAAAACTAGACTCTAAGTGTCTGGGTTTATCTTGTTCTTTGACATAAGATGTATAAGAAAGCCATTCTTATTTAAATTTAGTCAACCTGATGTTCTGAATTTATGCTATTAATTTTGCCAGTAAAGTAAAGAATTTTTTTTTGACAGATCAATTGTTGGATTAAAGTACTAGGATAATGGTACAGTAACTAGGAATCCCAAATATGACTTATAACAGAGCACACTTCTCATTTCACCAAGCCCAGTCCTTTCATTGTTTGCATGAAGAGCGTCTCTTTCCAGCATTGAAATAACTCAGTCTGTTCTATTGAATTGCCATTATGCACCCTTGTACATTGTACTGGGTTAGCCCCTCCTTAGCTATAATGTGTCTGGGGAAAGAATCAAGGCTCAACTCATCAAATGGAACTTTTTGGTGACTTATTAAAAGATTCCCTGTGGTATTTTAAAAAATGCAGCTTTGCTGTCATGTAGCTATCAATCCCTTTTAGAAATCGTTCATTTTTATGTGAGTAAAGACAATTTTTCTACTTCAACTCTTTGATTCCTGCCTGAAAGAAATGGTTTCAGAAGGCCTCTATTTTAAGGTGTGGGGGGGTGGGGGGGGAATGTGCCCCAAAGGTTCCAGTTGTATTTTGTGAGAGGTAAAAGACTATAAAGTTTCTATCTAGCTCTCCTTCATTGAGCTCATGGAAAGTGATCCTTCATTACTCAATGCCAGGTTTTGATGAAATTGAATGAAATCAGATGAGAGGAAAGATGAGCTGCATCCTTCTTGGTCACGAACAACTGAAATAAGAGAGGCTCCCTGGGAAATCCTACCTGTTCTGTAATAAGTTTAATATATATCATAAAAAGGGAGTTTCTTGTTAATACGCTAAGGCTAGGAAAAGAGAACAGAGGAATAAAATCAGATAATTCATTCTCATTGCCAGACAAAAGATCTCAAAGCCTTCTCTCATCAGTATATCCCAGATGTGTGGCCTTTAACTCCCGACATTCTAAAAATGAGCACATGCTGAAGCACATGTTTAAGGAAGAGCATATTGAAATAGTGCACAGTCTGACATTTGATGCTGATCCCCAAGAAATTTCTTGCTAGTTTTCCAATTCTGAAAGTTGCCTAGCTCCTTTGTTTTCCATCATACCTTTTCATCATTGTGAGAACATTGCCATGCAGTCAGTGTATCATATGCCATGTGTCATGTATGTCTAATGTGAACCTGAGGGATGAAATTTGGAATATATGGTAATTGATGGATAGTGAAATCCAGGAAGCACAGGAATAGTATCAAATAGGATTTGATACTACAAAAATAGTATCAAAAACTTGATATTTTTATGTATATAACTGATGCTGCTTGGGGAATAAAAGCTTGTTATCTGAAAGTTATTCTGATCTAAAGAAAGTATTGCTTAGGAACTACTAAATCCAACCCTACATGGAAAGCAATCCTGAAATTTAACTGAGTTCCAAGTTCCAGAAATGTGGAATAGTGTGATGCTTTTTCAGGAAGAGGAAGAGGAGGAAGGGTGGGACTCACAGAGAAAATAAGAAGAAAACTATCCAGTGTAATGACAAGTTCTTTTAATATAAACTTTATCCAGAAAACAGTTACATGTGGAAAGACTGATCCTCTTAAGAATCTTTCTCAGCCCCCTTGTTTATTACTTTACATATCAAACTTTCTTTAATTTTCTTTCTTTATGCTTTCCCAAAAATGAATATAAATATCACCTTTTTAACATTAAATAGCAAATTTGAGAACACATTCTGCCATGAGTCCCTGCTTGTGAGGTAATGCATTTGTGATGGATGGATAGATGGATGGATGGATGGATGGATGGATAGGAAGGAAGTAAAGAAGGGAGGGGAAGGGGGTGGGAAGGAAGGAAGGAGGAAGAAAGAAAGAAAGAAA